GTACCGAACGTCCTCAAACGTCGTGCGTTTCAGCATACTTTCCCCGATTTGAATTCAAACGATCCTCGGGTCCAGCCGAGTAGTATCGAGTTTTGTCCTTTTCCGTCGCGTCATTAGCATTTTGTATGGTTGGAGTTAGAGATTGTGAACGCACGGGTATTATTCGGTGAAAAGGGAACAATATTCTTGGAAACTAAATGTACAAGTAAATAGTAAAAAATCAGAGGTAATTGAAAATGACAAAGTGGAAATCGGTTAGTGGGGATATTTTCATCATGAGTGGTGGAAGTAGTGGCCTTGAGCGAGTAAATCTTAACTTCTAGCTATAACACGCAGTTTCTACATATACTGCAGCATTACACAGCACCTGCACATTATAATTATATTAATTATAGGCTTAAAAAGAAATCCCTATAATTGATCTATCTACATTACTCTACGCTCTATACCAGCAAGAACTGTAAATACCTAAATCTCTTAACCCGTGGTAATTTAACAAGTATGTATTATGGTTAGTGACCTTGAACGACCAAATCTCACGCTCTACAGCTATAATAACCTAGGAATAAAAAGAAATTCCTGTAATCTACACCTTAACTCTCAAATACCGTCCGTCTTATGTTACTGTAAATTCCATAAGAGCAAGATTCCAGGATACTTAAAGCCACAAGTCCGCAATGATCCAAAAAGGCGTTCACGCCGGCAACCAACCGGATCGGATAATTTCGGGTTAGTTATGCACGAATACGAGTCGAACTAACGGGTCCACGGAGCTCGTTTACGCGACCTCTGGCGGTCATCCCGTGGCTAAATGCGCGAGAGGCTTTCTCCGTGGCTTGGAATGCGGCCTCTCCCTCTGACCGGCTCTCTGGCTCGCTTCGAGGACAGCCACGGAGGTACGCCGGCCTCCAGGTCCCGCTCCCTCCAGATTTTGGTTACATTAAGAGCGCCTGCGTACCGGAAAATTGGGCTTCCCTGCTTCTTTCTAGAAAAGCGGCCGGCTGAGTTCAAGTTTCTGCCGTCACTTGTCAGTTCCATGTTGTAAATGGACCTTTAAGGAGCATGTACACCGGTGAAACATGATGTCGTTGGTCTCGATTATTGTCCTGTTTCTTTCGATGATAGACTGTCCGATGATGAATCTCTTCTTCTACTTAATAAGGAATTTTACAAGTGGCCGATAGTTGTGAAGGTATTCTGAAGTGAGAATAGGTATATCTGGAAAACGTTTAAAAAGGAAGTACTTATTCATTGACTGACCACTTGGAATTAATAATACATTAACTGTACATGTAACAGAAGTAGGGCAGACTTTTGTAATTGAGATCACACCACTCCCGCGGTGAGGATATTGTTGGAATAATGAATAATTCGTTTAAAAATGAGAATTCATTCCGAGGCTCTGTGCAGCGGCTCTGCTACTACTCCAGTAATCTCCTATTGCAAAATGTTACCTCGCCGGTGACTCAGTAATTAAGCATTTCCAGCGCGATAGCTCGCGAAAAATTATCCACGCGTAGAGTGGTTTCGATTAGAGATCAACCACTTACCGCAGCATGCTAGCGTACACACAGAGCAGAGACTCTGCGGTTATGCGGCTTAGTTTTCAATACAAATTTGCATCGTAACATTTCATAGTCCTATGGATCTCTAATCCTTGGATCCTCAGATTTTAGGACTCCGAGATGCTTCAACTCTTGGATTTGTAATTTTCTTGGACTTTTGGTCTTTGAATTTTTGGTTCTGGGATTCTTCCATATTTGGACACTCGAATTTTTGGACTCTTGGATCCTTGGACTCCTGAATCCTTGGACTCTTGGATCCCTGGACTCTCAAATACTTGGATCCTTGGACTCTTGGATCCTCGAACTCTTGGATCCTTAAACTGGACCTTTGTATACCTAAATTCGAGGATTTTCTGAATTTGAAAATTCTTAAAATTTGTGCATTTTCAAGGATACATAGAATTTCGATCTCTAAATTTCTAAACCCTTGTTTCAAACGCTTAAACTAAGACGTATCTTCCTGGAAGATTTATAACTACCGAGAACATCGATACTATTCAGTAACAAATTTCTACCAAGCGGAGAGCAAAAGACCAGTTTGCCAATCTGTACGCAGCCTAAGGCGCGAATGAACAACACTCGATCAAGCTGTAGGCCGCCGCGTGTCCGAGCAGCTCGCTTTCCATTCCGAACGAGAGGTTTTGCTCTTGCCGTTGTACAAGTTAAAATGTACAGACTCTGGTATAAACGCCGGCTCTAATTCGTGCTTGACGGGCACGCTTACTACGCGAGTAGAAGCAGCTGAATGAAATTTAGTTTCCGTTCGAAGGGTACCTTCTCCCGTCGATAGATCGACGATATCGGAATATTGATTCGTCGCGAAGGCTGAATTGCATAAATTTTCGCGACCAGAAAACGCAAACTCGTTGAGCAAGTGAAATTTCACGAATGATCCCCTTTTCTTTTTTATATTGCCTACTAACGATCGTAACTTTCGTAATCACCTTCCATCATGGCCATCTATGCGTCTTTGTTACAAATAACTACGTTATCTTCGAATATACCAGGAAGATTCATTGTCGAAGGTGACATTGCTGTCGAAGGATAATATTTTTCTTTAAAGCACGTTTTTCGTCGAGACCATGTCAAAGAAGCAGATAAGAAAGTTTCTTTGGTTCGCAAGATAAGTTGGTAACCTTGGCGACAACAGCTCTGATTTCCAAATTTCAGCGTACGATATATCGGTCAAGATTATTTCAAGGTTATACTCGTAGGATATGCAAAAAAAGAGTTTTTTCCAAGATTATTCAGATTAATTTGTTTCGAAAATTATCCGAGAAAAACATCTGTGACACCCTTTATATCAATGCATACTTCAAATACGCTGTTCAACATTCTCCTCAAACACAGCCTATTCAATCAATCTTACTACTCCAATTGAACATTTCGCAAATACTTAACATATTACCAATAGCACAAATTACACTCGAATAGGTTACAGAAACCTAGTAATGTAAAATCGAAAAATACTTCGATATATCTGAGAATACTATGAAAAGAATACTATGAAGAGAATACTAAGAAAATTTCTCCCTATGAATATACAAGTATGACTATAAGTAATAAATCTATCCGATTGGTTAGCAATGTGTTCATGGTAAACACAACGATATAACCCATAATTATCGTATCACATATCCACTTACGTTTCTCACATTCTTCGTACTAAAAAGAAAAATGGAAAAACTAACAACAAACTCGTTTCCAATCGTCTCATCGTGTCCACAAAATTCGAGACAAATCGGTGACCCGAATGTCATGTGGCTCCCTGTCAGAGGGAGCCAGAGAGCGCAAGAAGAGACGTCAAGCATGGCATGGTGCGGTGTACGGCGGAGAGGGGGCACCAAGCAGGTATTCAGGCTCAGCGAGCGAGGCAAGGCAGCCTTAAGAAAGCAGGCAGTCGGTAATATGGCGGGGGGCAAACGTAAGGGGCCGCGGGAGCGTAAAGTGAGTTTTCGCTCGCGGCTGCTTTGCAATGCCAGGCAGTCGAGGAGAGTCGAGTCGAGTCGAGTGGAGCCGAGCTTCTTAGAGTCAGTCTGGGACGTGGCCCCCCGTCGCATCCTTCTCGATCGTTGCGGTCCTATCCTCGTGCACGGCTACCACCTGTCCCAATCGTACGATCTTATCGCGCGTCGTCTGTGCTGATCGCTAGATACCTTGAAATGGCCGCGTTCTGAGATGCATTGATCATCGATCCAGTCGGTCCAGTGAATCATCGCGCTTCACCGATCGCTGTGGACACGTTCTCCTCTCGTTTGTCCCGCCGACCAGCGAACCTATAGATCGATCTTGTTGTTTTCTTTCTCTGATCGACGACGATGACATCGCCCCAGCAGCGGTGATTAGACTGAAACTACCTCCTTATTCGTGCAGTGATTTTGTGTGTGCGTGACTGAAGGATCAGCTGGAAGCTTGGCAGACGATATTCAACAGGTAGGAGGACATTCTTTAGTGGGAGTTTTTACGGTGGTGTTGGTGAAGCGTTTACATAGCTCGTGCATCGAGATTCCAATTTTTCTCGTTTGAATCATTGCACCGATGTTGTTACATGTTTGAGTCCGTCGGTGCTTGCAAAGACAGTTGGAGGTTTCTGAGGAAGGTGGTTGGTGGTTATCGAAAGGTTATTTATGATGGGATGTCGTTGAAGAAAATCGAAAATGTGTATACACACTAACCAAATAAGGTCGTATAGGATAAAGATCGGACGGATCGAGGTGAATAAATTAACGTGAAACGAGGGATAATATTGTGGCAATTTGATCGACTAATAACGGTTGGTTTAAAGAGCATCTATAACCGTTCGATCGATCCGCCACGAAGGACGTTCTGTTTTCTTTCCTTTTTTATCGACCCGCGCTTCCTGCATCATCCACCCCGTCGTATTTATATTCCTATTCGCGCGTCTCCTACACGCGCATGCGAACGTGTGTGTGTCCGTGTGGCGTAACAACTCATTATACGTAGAATGCTGGTGAGAGGAAGTTTAATGATACCGACGTCATCGGCGTTCCTCGCCTCTTTGTTTTTCCTAATTATGTCCGAAGAAATTGCGCCTCTCGCATCTCCATAATTCTGCATTCTAAACTTGTTCGCTCATCCTCCTACATATTGATCATGTGTATTTCTCTCGTTCTAACCTCTTCGCGCTGTAAACAACATTATAGACCGCAAGCAATACGAGACATTATTTTATTTCACTGTTTACGCCTGTTTATTGATATTTTCCTGGTATTTACCAAGGTTCTTTTTCTTATCGTCGCATTCCTTTCGTAAAGTTCGTTATTCCGGTTGATCGCGTCGGTCTTCGTGCGCGCCGTAACGACGACCGATCGCGTAATATCCTCCCGGGTGAAAACGCAACGAGGCAGTGAGAACGAAACGAAAACTGAATGAAACGAGCGTCCGCTGGAACCGCGGCTCGTTTTCCACGACACGCCAAAGAGAGTGGTGTACACTCTCTATAAACTCGTAGTTTCGCTTACTCCCGCAGTCGCGCCGCAAATTTTCTTTTCTCGCTCTCCCGCGAGAGATCTCGCATCAATGAGAACGACAATCACCGCGACGTGCTTAGAAACGCTACCTTTTTTTCTCTCACAGCCATTCGAAGAAACATTCCTTCCTCTGCTGTTACACTTGTGCCATTGTTTCACTGTCTCGACTTTTTGGTCCGTTTCGACATTTCTCTCGTTTCTGTGTACATGAAGGATGCATAAATTTGTTCGATACCAAATCATTGTTTGATTTTCTTTTTATTTCACTTTCTTTTTTATTCACATGTATATACAGTAATATTGGTTATGAGGTTAATTAAGAATGGTGACGGCGCTAGTATTTGTTGACATGTTAATTGGAACAATTAGGCGTGCACCATTTGCATGGAAGTGTAAATAGGTTTTTATGCTCTTATGCTATATATGGCTTCGCATCATCGTATCATTTTTTCGTACGTTCTTCCGGAAGGCTAAAGTGAAACAATATGCGGTCGCTAGATCGACATGCACATACACAGTAAGTAAACAGAGGAATCCGAGAAAGTTTCGCCGTGCAACCTGTTAACTGCGCAGGTATCCTGCTAGGAAAGCATAGTGTTTACGGTTCTTTTTAGCAAAACGACAGTCAAACCAGCCGGTAGAAATGTGAGACACTAAAACTAACCTCGTTAAAGATACTATACTTTCTTGCCATTATCCCTAAGAGAAAATAACCACTCTCATTCAATTAACGTATTAATTATCATTCTTAATGCACAATTTATACATTTACTTAGAAATCCGGTAAAAATTTCTATAATCTCGTTTATAGCTGTCATTTCGACGGTTATTAACAGTTATGTATCACAGTCAAGGTTCGCTCGTTCGACAAGACGATTTTTCTATAGAATATCGCGTGAGAGCGGGAAAGGGGCAGATAGGTTTTCTCAAGATAACGCACGGGATCGATTGGCGACATTTAGAGCGCGAAAAAGTAATAAACGATCCAACGGCTACGTCGTCGTTAAGGACAACGACATCGGTGTTCACTGGAATGTCAACTCGTTTTCCACGAGCCGTCGAAGGCGGATCGTTTTCCCTACGTAGAGCCCCCCCCCCTGATTCTCTCTGGTTCGGCTCTTACTTCACCTTCTTCCACTCGATAGCTCGGTAAATATACGAGTCGAAACTCCACGCGCGAGCGAGAGCCGTTCATCGACACCGATAGAAATCGCCGTACCATCGGCTGGAATGTCAATTAATTTTTCTCCCCACTTTTTAACCATGGTTGCTTGCGCTTCCGGTAACTCGACGCGTCGGTTCCCGCTTCTTTTACTTCCAGACGTTCGAAATATAATACATCAACGTTGCGAACGGCGTCCATGTTTACAAAAACGCGAACCGAATGCCGGGATGCGCAAGCTGTATGCGCGTACGCGATGGTATGGTTCGCGGACCGCGGAAATCGTCCGTTTCGAAGAATTCCCCCAATTGTCGAAAAAACATAGAAAGCAACCTGCCGATGAGACAATTTCTATTTTTGTGAATGTTGGAATTTGTGAACCCCATTTCCGGAATAAAAGAGAGAACGAATAGAGAAGATTGGTTTTTATGGAACTGCCAGACGCGTGTACACTTTAAGCGATTTGTAATTTCGTAACGAGTGAG